TGCATGCATCAAGTTGATGGATGCTAGACATCCCAATTACCCTACATCGACCAAACGATCTACGATGAACTCTCAGAAACGCTATTTGCAACTCATGCATGTAAAACAGCCATTCCAGGGCCAAATGTTTTCATAATTTTCTGAAGAAAAAAAATTACGATAACTTCTGGATTCTTTGTAATGTTTCTATATATTGATAAAAGTGATCCTGTCTTTCTTAAATACTGACGTTCCTGATGAAGTTGCCTAGGTACTTAGGATCAAGTATCAGTTTTAAAGACAGCTCTTTAAAATATATTTTTTTGTATTTGAACCGATACTGTACGATCTGAAATGGCGAAACGCTTATCAACCTGCTTTCAATTAGACCTCAATTTACAAAACGTTGTCACTGACTCAAACGAGGGCAACCCTCTTTACTTATTGAGGGTATATATGATGAATGGATATTTACTGTTTGGTCAGGAATGCCTGGGAATACTTACTCGTTGAGGAGGACAAATTTCTCATTGGGACTGCATCTACTTCGAACTTCCTGAGTCCTTTGTGGGAGAATACTGTAGCATTTCATGAATCAATGAACGTCAAATATACAGTATGTTCAGGCTGGAAATTTGAATGTCACATATCTTCGTATTTTCCGAACTGAATTTGTCAGCATGGTGGTAGAGATGTTGTCTCATCTCTGTTGGTAAGCCCCATCTCTTGGGAGACGGAAGGGTTTGATTTTCTTTACAATGTCACCATGATTTATGCAGCTCGCAACATCACATCCGACCGTATATCGAGTCGATGACAAGAAGAAACATGCTACGAAAAAGGAGGAAGGAGAAAATGCAAAATGGAGGAAGGCTGAGGGAAACGCCAGGGGTATTCCCGGGGAGATTTCGTCAATTTTTGTAGAATATTCCTCGTGTCTGAATCCCTTTCGTACATTTTATTCTTTTGAGCGAATTTCCACAACTCATCGGGCAACAGATGGACCAATTCAGACCAGTTGCAGTCGAGAGCAAGGAGTGTTTACGTCCACTGTGAACCACCAGAACGACTGGGATATATGTTGCCCTCTGAGAAAGCGTTCTTTCTGGCGGCCTCCAGAAGCAACGTGTGTCAATGCAGTCCTCTTTTTCTCAGAAGTTCATCTGCTTTTTAGGGAAGCACGAATGGTTGGCTATCATGCACGAATGAACTCTCTCGGAAGTCGTTCGAGCGAGAGGGCTAGCCAGGACTTTCACACACTCGCATGAAAATGGTAGTGAAACCTATTTCGTGGAAGTATTCCCACGGACATAGGTTGTCCATGAAGACGATCTCTCACGCGAAAGACTTGGATGCGAACATGTTCGCCCGTGTAAAGCTCCCCTTTAGGGGGTATGAAAGGTAATCGCTCGTGCGATCATTTCCACAGATGATCCAGGTATGCGCAAGTAATAGATATCTCTATTTTCATCGGAGTGCACAGAAACACTGGGCGGCCCTTTCAGGAGAGTAACTTTAACGCAAGCAAGCTTGCATGTCTCAACCAGTCCTAAGAGTCAGGAGCTGGCGGTTACCAGTAACACTCGCGGATAGAAGGTTGATATTCAACTGAATTGCTCTCGATATAAGTGGCTTGCTTGAGGATCTTTCTTGTTAACTCTCAACTAATTACAATAGTTGAGAGGCCGCTACAGTGCGCGTCAAAATTAACGTACCGGGGTTTTCTCTTATTCAACGAGAGACATCAGAGAACCTTTTATTTAATCAGGAAGCACATATCGAGCCCTGATCTCAATACAGGGTAAAATTGCCTTTCGCTTCGACTACAGCACGTAATCGGCCTGGAATGGAGTCCACCAATTTTTTTGCTAACTCTTCGCTCCGACTCCTCCACACCTCCTTGATTACTGCTCGTAAACTACGGATTGTTTTGGGGTGCCGATACGCTACTTTGGCCTTCAAGAGTGCCCACACATTTTATGTGGGGTTGAGGTCGAGAGATCTGCGACGGACATTCCAAACGGGACACCTCATTCTCGACCCTCCGGTTTGTCGGCTGCTTTGAGGTGTGCTTCGGATCACTGTCCTCAGGCAGCACCCAGGACTTCCTTGAATCAGAAAACATGGTAGCTGCAGAAGGCAAGAGGGCACGCTCATAAATTCAGCAGATGCGCATCCAGGTTCTGGGTGAGGTGCAGATCTTCCCAATCCCTCCAGCATAGAGGCAGCTCCAAGCATGCACCTTACCCAGGTGTTTCACAGTCCGAGCCATCACGCTTTTCCCTCCACCATTCCCGTCTCTCGATATCTTTTAAGCCAACCGGCCTTCGCTAGCTTTGAGATCCTTTTATACTTCGCGATGGCGGCAGAAGAGAGCTTCGAACCCATGGGACGAGCGGCAAGAAATCAGTCTCGTAGCGATCCTTCACTGAAAGTGGCATTTTTCCTCAAGCCGAAATAAACAACTGCGTAACTGGGATGCAACAAACTGGAGTCCCCCCCTTTTTTTTAGGTGGATCAGTATTCACGGACAACTGTCCTATGCAAAACCTTTGAGCCGCATAGGTTCCATATTTTTCGAAAAAAACCCTGGTACGTTAATTTTGACGACCACTGTAACTACATTTGGAAAAGAGAGCTGGTGCCCCACCAACTTCACTGGATTGTGGGCCACCGGGTACATGTCCCACTTGTCAGCACTGGCCCGCCACCTTCCGGGCCGCTAAAGGGCAGCACATTACCAATTAGCTCGTTCGTGGTGTACCACCAGCTGGGAAGGGTCCTAATGCTTCCATGTATATCCGATTGACCGATAACAGAAGGTTCTGGAGCTTACTTAGATGAGCACCCAAGGATTTGAACATGATCAGTAGCTCTAGTCTTCCACATTCAAAATAGACTTCGCGAAGATGAGCAGCGCACTACGAGCACCAATACATATCATACACATCATCTAACATTAAAGAACATAGTTTCTGTCCTCCGATAGTCCTGCACACTTCTGGATTCCCATACTTAATTTTAGCATTTAATAATTCCCCGAGTCTTATACTGGAAAGAAAACATCTCGATTCTACGATGTCATAGTATCTGTTTATAAGTTGCACATTAAAAAGAGGAAAAACGAGGAAAAAACACTTTTGCTAAATCAGAAAGACAGGTACTTCCTTGCATTAGCAGGGTGCAGGGAATGGGGGTACCATCTAGTGGGGGCTCTTGATACTGCATCTGGGGGAGTGCCAGCTACATGCCCCATACTGAGCTGATGGAAGGCGGCCCTCCACCTACAATAGGTAGCGGGCCAGCAACTGCATGTCCCACTTGGAGCCATGTTCCCTTCCCCGGCAGAAATCCGTCAGTGTAGTGCCTGGGCCGCTTATGGCCCACTATTGCGCTACTTGGGTAACTAAGTTATTTTTCAACATTTTTACAACTCAATTAATGGGGATATCGCGTTGCAGGAATAAAAAGCATATACAGAATGAAATGGCAAAATTACTCGGCTGGTGGCTCAATATAACCCGAAGTTATGCGCAAAAGAAGGCTAACAGGAGAACAACTCAACAATGATGTATAACAACATGCCCAAAAAAAGAACCTAAAGCATAAAAGAGAGAGAGAGAGAGAGAGTCATCAATGCACCTTAAACGCCCACTGCCATATAAATGGTTTAATATCAATTTACCTAAATGGCAATATAAATATTTTATATCCGCCAACGTGTCTGGTGTCTATTATGATCTCGTTGGACATGGAGTAGCATCACTGCATTATTCAATATGGCACCATAGATGGTGACTACTAGCTCCACTGTCTCCGGTCATCATTCTAATGAACACTAAGTCTAACGTTAGATATAGTTTCGACGCGAAGTGATTCCTAAAAAGTTAAATGCCGCAAATAAGCTGACTTTACTCAATGCGTCCAACCAGCTTCGAATGGTTGAATCACTTAGTTACTAGGCTAGGCGTCCATTACCGCTCTCATTAGGAATGTGGGGCAAGTTCCCGGGATTGCTTCAGTACCACACTGCTGGGTCAAGTCTCGTTGAAGTTTTTTTATTCCTCCACTGAATAGAGTGGATGGTGTAATAGGCTATGATAGGAGCAAATCCCACAGGGATGCATTGTTTATGCCTATCACCCAAAGCTTGGAGGAGACTTAGGATGCATTAAACTTTAGATATAGTAATTACGCGAAAGTCGAGCCCGTTTCCTTAGTACAATGACGTGCTGCAATGACGTGCTGCACAAAAGAGGCTCCATACTGAACGAATGCTTCACGCAGGGTCGTGAGTGTGTTTATCTGTAAAAGTTGGATTGTGATTTACAATATCAGCTTGAAAGCCTTTGCATCATTAGTNTGCCAAGAGGTACTTTCGCCCAGTCTTACGTCCTACGTCAAGCTCCCATGTTCATGTATGATATGATAGGCTTACCTTTCTTATAGATGAAGGGTTTTGAGGGTGCATATACACATAATGCAAGTCACTCCCAGCTACATTGCTCCCCTACCTTCTTTTTTTTCCTTAAAGGCAACTACCAACTTCTTAAATATAGTCCCAAAAGGTACAGTAATTACATAATCTATGCATTCAGCACCTGTATTTACTACAAGGAAAGTAGTCATTTTGCAGTTTGAGTCTCACTTGCAGTTGATGCAATTTTGGTTTCCTCTCATTCTGCTGCTCATGCGAAGTCCAAATAGGCTATACAGAGTGGGTATAAGCACTTCACTATTAACTTCAATCTGTGCTCAGTTTCAAACGTACAGTTTGAAACTGTAATAAGTTCAATCATTGTACAAATGATTGAACTTATTCCAGAGAGGAGGACATTTCAAATGATCAAACTTGGAGCACTTGGAGACCATAGCCTCAGCCCAGGCATATAGAAGAGATGCAGGCTTACCCATACTTGTAGATTTACATTCATTTTCTTTTGTCTCGCACAGCAACAACCCTCTAGTGTACAGTCTACCAGCCTATATATCTTGTGGCTTCAGTGAAGTGCAAAGATATAATGGCAACCTTGAGGAACTTGTCAAGAGGGAAGAAGATCTTGTGGGCAACAGTGGGAATCGCCTCGGGTGCAACAGGAGGCTTACTCTTTGCTTTGAATGAATCAGTGAAAGCTGACCTCGAGCTCCATCCCCCTTCCTACCCCTGGAACCACAATGGGATTCTTCAGTCTTTTGACCATGCTTCAATACGAAGAGGATATCAAGTATATAAGCAGGTCTGTGCAGCCTGTCACAGCATGAAGTATATTGCTTACCGTCACTTGGTGGGTGTATCCCACACAGAAGCAGAAGCAAAGGCTGAGGCAGAAGATCAATTGATCACTGATGGTCCAGATGATCTGGGGAACATGTTTCAACGCCCTGGGAAACTGTCTGATTACTTCCCAAGCCCATATCCCAATGACAATGCTGCCCGAGCAGCTAACAATGGAGCACTTCCTCCAGACCTAACAACAATTGCCTTGGGGAGGCATGGAGGAATAGATTACATCTTTTCTCTGCTCACTGGATACTGCGATGCTCCTGAAGGGGTGAAAATGGCAGATGGTCAATACTATAACCCCTATTTCCCTGGAGGTGCTATAAGCATGGCTCAGGCTCTTTATAACGAGATTCTGGAATATGATGATGGGACTCCTGCCACTTCCTCTCAGCTAGCCAAGGATGTCTGCACTTTCCTGAAGTGGGCTGCAGAGCCTGAGCATGACACAAGGAAGAGGATGCTCCTGAAGGTTCTATTCATTAGCTCCTTTCTCCTTAGCATCACATATTGGTGGAAAAGGCACAAGTTCACTGTGGTCAAGAATCGCAAGCTGGCATTCAAACCTGTGCATTTCCCCAAGACCAAGAAATGACTTTAAGAAGACTAAGACATACAATAGTTGTGTGATGTTTTGGGTTTGCTGGAACATCATCCTTGTATTATAGTGCTGATTTCTGTTCAGATATGCAAAGAAGCTACAATACCAGATGTCCCTTGCCTCTCTACTGAAATTCTTTCATGCTGATAACAGTATTTGCAGCAATTCTCTTCTTTTTTTTTCTGTCACTGGGTGAAAATTACTGATGTTGGTATATTTAACATTTGCAGAACTCTTATCTGCTTTATTAGCTCTCATCCCTGTAAGATTTCTTGAATTTTTCCAATCCATAAATTGTCAAGCTGTATTGCAACAAGAAGGGAAGATAATGAAGTCAAGTGAAGGGCAGATGGTGTGCATTCATCCTGGATGCCAGCATTTTGTTTGAAACCATTTCTCTTTACTTTCTTGAGACCAATGATGAAGATGAATAGCATTCCTATGCTCAAAAAAAAATTAATAGCATGGAAATTCAAACAAAATTCTTCATCCCTGGAATACTTTTATCCTTTTACTTCCTTAGCTTCAATAATGGAATTTTTTAGAAAATTTTGAAGTTGCTGCCTTCTGGTTTATGAAGGCCAGAAGGTATCAGGGAGACCTGATACTCAGCTGTGGAGCTCTGCAATATAGAGAAAGTTGCAGAATTTGTAATTCTTCTCAACTGACAGGTTTATTTTTTAATTAAGCACTGTCATTGATTTTTTTTAATATATAAAATGTATCTTTGATCAGCCTGTCAAACGGTATTATCAGAATGTAGCAAATCACTCACTAAGAAAAAAAAGAGATTTTTATTTCTATATTTTGTTGATTGTTCTCGTTTTTCATACTTATCTCCTGTCTGGTGCATTGGAGTCCCTGTTGGAATCAAGGAAATGAATGAGTTAGTTGCAAAGCATTGCATTTACTCATGTATTGTCACAATGGAGACTTATGTGCTCTTGGAAGTCTTTGTCTCTAAGCTTGGTCGGTGGGATTAGTAGGATTAAGTAATTCCCTAGATGTATGCTCTTACTCAAAAAAACATGTGGATTTTCATACAATGCATTAAATGGCATTGGTATACTTGCCTTCCACAGTGACTTCAAATCCTAGACTGTTGTACCTAAGTTGGATAGGCTTAACTGTTTCATATTATTCAACTCACCTTGCTTGAGTGGTCTTATTATAACAAGCCATAATGGTGGAACGTCTTTCAGGAAGTAGATGTGAAGGCAGGATGTTGTCAGCCACCCGATCTGTGCGGACTGCTACTCGAAGCCAAGCCAAGGATGACATCAAGCGTGCAATGCAGGTCATAGACAAAGTTCGACACTGGTGAGTTAGTATGGTGATCATATTTGGAATCTCATTCAGAAGTGAAATGAAGATTACATTCATCTATTTTACACTTCCTGTGATGGATACATTGATTATTAGTTATAATCTGATGTGAGGAGGTTCTTAATAATTATGATATGAAGCACAGGTGACTCTGGCAATTTGATTTAGCTTAAATGGTAAAGATACTGAAAGATTTTGCATCTAGCAAGATCTTTCTGTCTTAGTGGAACATGACCTCTAGTAACCAATGACAACATTAGCCATCTGTGCTGTCATTTAATCATCCCAAGTACTTTAAATTATGCCTGACTTTTCCAGCCCTTTGATGATGCAGGGTTGAGAGATGGCTTAATTCCCCAAAACAAACTTTTGTACATCTGGTAAACTTTAATTCAAATCAATATTTTGATTGCTCTTATGGGATTTTATTCTTGCTGTGAAGATACACCTTGATTTGAATCCCCAAAATGGGCAAAAGCTTTGGGAAACCTTCATGACTAATCTGTTTTGGCTCATGGGATTAATGACTGTTACATGGTGAGACATGAATATTCCACTGTCAATATTTGTTGGGAATGTGTTCTTCCTAAAATAATGTGTGACTTGATTCTTTTCCAGGGAAAAGAAATGGGTGACAATAAATGACACCACAATGAGGGTCTACAAATGGGTTCCTGTAGCACCACCATCAGAACTTGTAAAAACTCCCTTGACACTTCCATGAATTTACCTTAATACAGTGATTTAATGTCAATTAATTATAGTTCCAGTCTCATTTTATCTCCATTTAATGCACACAAAAATAAACAACAGTTTCAGTCCAGTTTATTGAGCCCTCATTAACTGGAGATAAATTGAAACTGCAGGATTTGAAATAGGCAAGAGACTGAGATGTGGAGGTTCCTGTGCTCATTGGCATACGAACTTGTGTCTTGGAGTCTCAGACTCTTGGGCTACCCACAATATTTCTAACACTGAATTGGCATGTAAAATCAATCCCTATTAATGGCTGACTCATTTTAGTTTGTTCCCATGCTCTGCTGGGAAGCCAGAGTGCACTGTTTAACTCAAATTTAGTTCCAGTTCAGTTGCAGTGTAAGTTACCTGAAAATGGAATGAGGACAGTTGAACTTTGGTTTAGTTTCAGTTAACTTGACACAAATTATGCTGGAAAAGTGATTTTGCATGACCAGTTCACTTGCAGTTCACATCCAGTTTGATTTAAATAAAAATGACTTGAAACAGTCACCAAAGGCATAATATGAAATCATTGATAGAGCTTTTGAAAACTGCTTCTCATTATGAATTCACTTCTCTTATGCTTTCATTCATGTTTTAGGTTGTTTGCTACATTTGTATTTCATAAAAAACACCTTCAAGATGTGTTTGCATACATGGGGTTGGCCAAAAAAGAGTAAGCCACTTGAAAATTTACTTTGAAATCTATATTTTTTATGTATCAATTGACTGTATATTATTTTTATTAATTATATTGATTTAATGAAATCTTGCTTAATATGTTCTTTAATAGCTCTTAAAACTTCATGAGCTTACAACTTCCCATGCTTGAATAATGGCAGATTCTGTCAATATGGTCAACATTTTGAGCCTGTGTGATTTGCAAGGAACGAATTCACATTGGATTTTTGCTTAAAAAATCAGTTTGTGTGAATGGATAATTATGAAAACTTAACAGGACATTGTCTTATATGTTCTTCACCATCTGAAAAGTCATGCATTGCATGAAATTTCAGTTATTCCCTTGCAAATGTTAGGATATTTTCTAATAGGGACACCTGAGCATACCAAAAAACCTTTAAAAAAATTCCACACCACATTTGGAGGCAAAACAATAGAATAAATTAAAACCTTTCAGCAGATAACATATAGGTCACATTTGGAAACAGATCGTGCTGTTGATCTCTCCTGTTTCATAAAACAAATGGAGGTGGGATTTTTTAAGTTTAAGCATGGGAAGGATAAGCATGGGAATGCTTATATACTGGGTGTTCCAAAATATATGTGTAAGACTGATGTTAATATTGAGCTACTTAGAATTACTTAGTTGAAAATTATTATACACATAGGTACAATTTCTAACTTTTATGTAGCATATTTTATTTTGTGAAATTTTGGTGAAAATACCAAAAAATGTGGTTGAAGAGAAGATTCATTTTGATCAATGCAATAATTTTCAACAATGGAAGTAAAACTGATGGCGAAGCGGTATGGTGGGAACCTCCCAATGTGTAAACCCCCGTAAACAAAACCTACCTCCTGTTGTGAGAGGACTTGTAGAAAACTTTCAAAACAAGGTCAACTTACAAGTATCCGTTACTGGTATCGTTGTTCCAGGGCATCCAGATCAGGGAAAGGGGCAGCTTAATTGATGGTTTCCTGGTGTCCCCAAATGTCTGGGTTTTTTTTCTTCAAAATGCCATCAAACTTTATGTACTTGGTGTTGATTGAGAGGTTGGAAATTGGGCTAGTGTTATAAAGCTCTTGCTACTTTGACAGGGGATGACCCTAGGATGCAAATAAACTTTTGAGTGTCTGTCAAACAGCTAACAAGCAGAATCTAAAAACGTGTTATAAAAAAAAATCAAACTCAAATACTTGTTGCCATTGCTGGGGCAAACCCAACAACATTAAATGTAGCAAAAAAAATTATATGTATTATCAATGAGTCTGCCAATTTTCTTTTTAAATTAGCCCATTCCCAGAGGCTCAAAATGAGCATGAGTCATCTCCCTGGGACACCCACATGCCCCAGGGAGATGACAGCAAATACTGTCAGTTTAACCTCAGCAATACTTGATATAATGGAACCAGGCTCATCATTCTTGGAAATAGCATTGCCTTCAGATTGAGATGCAGCCAATACATTCTAATCCCATGGATCAAGCTCTGCCTGTCTTTCATGAGATCAACTAATTGTAGGGACAGAACTTCAACAAAGTCTGTCTCTATCTCTCTAATCTGGTGTTCTCTCATGGGCTGTTGTATGTTGCCTTATCAAGGGTCACATGAATCAGCAGAATCAAGGTGCTCATAAGGAATGATGATCCAAATTGAATAATGAATATTGTGCACAAAAAGTTTTGTGATCTAATTGCAATCTCCGATTGTCATAATTCACATCAATAAAATGGAAATAATAGTCTTATCATTAAAACTGACTAAATTTCCAGTATTACTAATAGGGGTTCTTAATCACAACTCTTTTCTTTTTTTAGGCCTGCAAAAATTGTTGCATGTATTTTGCTAGTTATCCTATGTATGAAACATATGTACATGAAAAGTGGAAAAGCTAAAAACTGCATGGTGTCTTCTCAGATGTTTTGGTTACCTTTTTTTGGGCCACCCTGTACTATCCATGATCCTGCTTTAAAACATGCTTCATTGAGAAAAAAAAGGGCTTCTGTGTATGCAAGCTCTGTAGTTCTTCAAGAATAACCCACTTCCTTTGGCATCTGAATATGAATATGGTTTTATTACCTTAATTGCATCGCTTGAAAATCTGTCTATTCATCTGATTCTGAACTTGTTTCTTTCACATGACAGAGGAGGAAAGGAAGGGAGAAATTGAACAACAAGGAAAACCGAAACATTCAGCCATCTCTGCCCCCTTCCCTAGCTTCAGCTGATTCAAGATCTCAAATGACTTACCTCAATGAGGATTCCAATACAGGTTGGTATCAGATTAGCCTCTTTGAGTCATTAATATTTCCATTCTAAATTTTTCGTGCCTGCCTTGTGACCTTAATTGGATATGTGAATAGGTGAAAGTTCATCAGTGAAGTATAATTTTGAAATGGAAAAGTTGAGTAGTCGGTTTTTTTGTCCAAAAGCATGCCTTACATCAGTGGTGCCCAACCCGTGGCTTGCAAGGCCCTAATCCACAAAACCCTCAGGTTTCTGTAAAAATTTTTCCTACAGTACTAGTGACATAATATGGCCTGCAATGGCTGTGGTAGGGAGCTATGTGCCCCCCTAGTCAAAAAGGTTGGGCACCACTGTCTTACATCAGTATCAGATAGGAACTGGTCCCCCCTCTTCTTGATTGATGGTGTTTGCTGGCCTAGTCAGAGGCACACAGACCTGAAGTCAAGAGGAAAGAATGAAATGGTTTCATCCTCACTGGGGGAGAGGTTGAGTGCTGAGAGCAAAGCAATTTTTTCAGTATCTGTCTAAATCTGGGGTTAGGGCAAAACTGACCATATGCTCCCTCTTTCAAAGTTGAGAGGTGGCCCCACACTGTTGGTGTTCTTGTGGTAATAGCTGGGAACATAGTTTATCACCCATCCTTTCATATGGTATTTCTCATGTTTCATAACCACTCCTCTTTGAATTATACTTACTCCTGTAGGCCCTATCCTATTTGTCATGAGATCCTGTCCCTCTTGTGGGAAGGAGTGAGACTTCCATGGCAGGATAATAAGAGGGGTGATTGAAAAGTTCTAAGCCTGATGCACTTCTAGTTGCAATACACCATTCTTACTCTTCTCATGAGGAAACAGATGTTTTTGATGGTGACTGGCAAAATTTCATCTTATTTGTTGATTAAAGATAGCTAATATAAATTTTTTCTCTAAGCTACCAAAGGGTCTGCTGAAGAGGTATTAAAATTGAGACAAGTGCTGTGATGAATTTTCTAAACTCTAAGGAGTTGATCTCCAAGTATATCTTTCAGTAGCTGAGAGGATAGAAGTCCTACAGACTCTTCTATGAAAGGTCTGCTTAGAGATTGACTACCTGGAGGTTAAAAAATGAATAACTGCATTCATCTCAATTTTATACCTCTTCAGCAAGCCCTTTGATGGCAAATTGAAAAAAGTTCATAGATGCAATCTTTAACCCTTTCAGGATGGAGATTTTTAAAGCGTACCACCTGCTCTGGCTGGAGTTCTTTTCTGAAGCGTAACTTTTGCGTACAGCACTTGAGTTTACCGTCAAAACTCAATTACAACTAAATATATTAAGGTGAAATTAGCTGTTCAGGTTCTTCTTACCACAGTAGTAGTGGTTCAGAGTGTGGTACTCCATAAAACATGGATGCACATAGGTCGTTTTTGTTGCAGGTAACATGTAAAAATTGTGTCTTGGCACTTCTTTTGATGGTACATTGTATGTTTGCATAAGTGGCACTTTCTTTGTTAATGTTTGTCAGCTATAAAAACTTAATAAATCACTGCTACAAAGTATGAGATGCATATTTGGATGCTACTGCAACTCTCCTGCATTCAGGAATAGCATGGGACTTGTGAAAGCAATATTGCAACATGTGAAAAAGTTTCAGCCACAGGATGGCAGAGACATCTCAGGTTGGCCATAGCAGTAAGGCCATAAAAGAAAAGGCTGGAAAGGGTTAATTGACAATTAAGATTAAATTTTGCAAGTCACCATCAAAGACATCTCTTCCCATGAGAAGAGTAAAAAAGGTGTATTGCAATTGGAAGTGTCTTGGGCTTAGAACTTTTTGATCACTCCCAGTAACATAAATTTGCATCCTTATGGTAACCCCAGACACATGGTGCCTTCCAGCTTCACTAGCAGTTTTTATGCTTATGTCATTTATCTACATAGTCACCAGTGGCATAGCCAGGATTTTAAAATTGGGTCCTATATTTTCTGAGATCACCCTATTGAACCATCTTTTCAATAGGTTGGAATGCTGTGAAAATTGATTTACCATTTTTGTTTTTCCTGTGATAGTATTGAGACCTAAGTTGGGGGAGGGAGGTTAGCCCCTTTTGCTATGCAACTGAGATACACTTTGGCAACCCTGATGCACAGGAACAG